ACAAGAATTCTTAAGAGGTCAATTTATTGGAAGGGAAAAAAAAGAGAGAGACTCAAAGGAGGCAACTGAAGGAAAAACTGACTTCAAAATGGAAACGAAGCATTATTCTGTATTAGTGAAATTGATTAATAAGTAAAGAAAAATGCCAAGAGAAATGAGGGATTTTTTGACTCTGCATACCTGACTCAGGTATATGCTTCTCTGTAAGGACACACTTTAGGAAAACAAAGCATTAGTTCTGTATTCAAGCAGAACAGAATGCAATTTAGTGTCTTGTGAAATGTAGAAGATAGAATAGAGTTAGATAAAATGGTTCAATCATGCTTAAATCTATGAATCCATGCAATACGTGTTCTGAAAAATAAAAATACATTGGAATGAAAATAAAACCAGATTTTAAATTGCTATTTGTATTTACAAATGTGATTACACCAAAGAATCCTTCCAACACAGCTGAGCAGTCTCAGGTATTATTAGAGGATCATGACAGTAGGAGAGACTCTTGTGTCTTCAATGAGATTTAGACCAGGTCATTAATCCCCAGAATGTTTTTACCAGTCACCACAGGGGTTATTCAGCTATCAACCAGACCAGCTATCTCATTCTCAATGGCTTTAACTGCAGGCTAGAGAGAAAATAGAATTCACAGCAAAAAGAGAATTTGCAGTCTCTAGAGAATTAAAACAGCACAAGTCTCACATTCAGAAGTATTTTAGATGCTACTGCTATTATCAACATCAGAAGAATTAAACAGGCTCTGATAATAGAGAGCAGTAGAAATTTATCACCAGTACTTGTAAAAGACATTTATATAGGTAATATAAACTAAAACTTTCCATTATAACTTCACAAATCTTAGCAAAAAGGATCCGTGTGCTGGACAAAATTGTTAAATAAACAAAATTTCAGCTACAGGATGAGTTATTTGGGAGAAGGCAGAGCTGAAGTATTTTTAAAAAATTCATTTCTCTCACCTAACAAAATGTTAAAATGAAAGCATGTTTTCCAAAGTCTTATTTTTAGTGCACATTGAAAAAGCTGATGTACTAAGAGGAGGTTAAACTGCCCTTGAGACTATCATCCACTATTCGAAATTTTACCTAAGTGAGACAGAACTGTGAGAATGCATCAGGAGAGCAGAACTTAGAGCACTGCTCAGCTCATGACTGATATGGATGTGCTAAGTCTAGTGTGCCACAAGCCTTGGCGAGGCCAGGCAGAGCCCTGAATGAGGAAGCAAAAAGGTGCGCTTGGTGTGCTTTGTTCAAGATAAATCCTGCAAGACCAGACATGCCTGTGCCTGTGCAGGTCTGTGTAAAAGCTCTGTGCAGAGCTCTGATTAGGTGATATTACTTAGAAACACCAATCGTGTGAATGTTGCTATTTTTAGCTGGAAAAGGATATAAAACTGATTTGTAGAATCAATAAATCAGCTCCATGTATGCAAACCACGGAGACCCCGTCTCGTCAATTGTCGGCACAGAACAATGCTTCCCTGTTCAGTGCTGGCATTTACTGAACAGATCTGGATGACAAAGAATTTTCAGAGTATTTCTCATTCACTTCCATCTAGATTACAATCCTGATGATGAACCATTATGATCAAAGTATATTGACTTTTCTTGGTAACTGGGCCTCAAATTTCTGAAACTGGACATTTTAAAATAAACAAGTCCCTAGCACCTTTACTTCATACTCCACATTGTATAACTTAATTTTTTTTTAGCATCACATTTTCCACAATTCAGTATGGCTTTTCCTTCATTTCTATTCTCTTTATAACACAGACACACACATTATATGCATCTGTAAGAATTCTATGAATTATGAAAATCTAGAAGTCTGATAGCCCTTTTAGTGCTTATTATTTAACAATCTATTTATCCATAATGACACTGATTTGTGTTTAGTCCGAGGTACCAGGTAATATAGTATTTTCTCTTAGGAGCTGTTTAAAGTACCAATTTACAGAGAAATCAATTAGCCCTGTGGCCCTTTCTGCCACAGATATTAATTTTTTTTCTTAAAGCATGAACTGAGTTTTCCATAAATTTGGGATGTATTGAAAGTGAGATTCAGCAGAAAAATAATAAAAAAATAGCTTTTTTGTGTGAAGTAACATTAAACCCCTAAAGTTTTCCCATGCACACAAACAATAGGTCAGATAAGTACAAATGTGAACATTCACTTTGACTATTCAACTTTCTAGAAAAAAAAATATACATGCACTGGTAATGGAATAACATTCTGCATTTCTTATGTGGCTTTTGAAATTACTGTCATGCACAAGGCAGTGCAATTGTACTTTATATTTTAGAATGCAACTGTAAAGTTCTCACTAAACTCTCAATAGAAAATCAACTCAGTGTTCAAAAATGCTTTTATTTTGCTTTGATTTTTATCTTATGTGACATCACAAAGGAGAAAAGCCTAGGCTAACTGACAAGCTAGTGAGAATTTGATCTTATTTTCTTCAAAACAGTATCCTAAGATTTCTAAAAGGAAGCCCTCTAATAAGGAACAAAAAAAAATTAAAAAGCATGTCTGCTTTATTCTCTTAAAGGAGGATATAAGCAAAATAATTTATAAAAATGTCATCAGTGTCAGAAATAGTTTATATCAGATCACACAGAATCACATTTACATTCACCAGAGACTATCTTTAGAATGTAACTTGTGACTTAATCAATAGGCTTGAAATAAAAGTAGCTGTAGCATTGTGCTTAATATGTGTGGGTGGGGTAAAAAAAGCCCACAATCCTATCCAAGTGGTTTTACCTATGTAATTTTATACCCTAATAATCCCTAATTTAATGTATGAAAAAGAGTTTTGGGGGAAATGTGAAAAAAAAGCATGAAAAAGTTAATAATGAGGCCTTTCCACTTCTAATATCAGTTCTCTAATGCTAGCTGCAAATCCTGTAGCTGTAATCCTGTAGCTGCAAATGTTCTCTAATCCTCCCTGCAAAGGAATTTTTTTAAAAACAGCAGCAGCTTTTTAAACTTCATCTATAAAAATGTGCACCTATTCAGGTAATTTGTTCATGTAGTTGTGTCAATGATATTGAGTCAGTACTTTTTTTTTTATTAGTATGTACCTTGGTCTTCTTGTATGCACCAAAATGAGATTCTGAGCAAATTGGAGTTTAACATGTAAATATCTGCTAAACCTAGATTTGAATGTTATAATTATTCATCTTTAGGTTTTATTAGTATTTGCATATGGATGAATTCTTGGAAAACCATGTTCAAATGCCAAGGAACATAATGGTAAAATGCTTCTCTTCAACATGCAACACAGAGCTTGTAGAGTAAATTACTTTTATAGGAAGGAAAATGACTATATCATTTGGATTAATTATCTTTGAAATAATTTGGCTTATATTCTGTCATCCTTCTTTTTTACATCTTTCATGACACCAATGGTCATTCTAAGAACTTACTGCTAGCAGATATTAAAGCTGTGTTTCACTGTATGGCATGTCATGTTTACAAATTCTGCTAAGGTAGCAGTTCTAAAATTATTACATCATTATTACATTACAAGTCCTGAAAAAAGTGTTTTGCATTGGTGTGGATATACATACATATTTACAGGTCTTCAGAAGACAAAATTCCTTAACTAAAACATTTGCAAACTGGATGATTGGCTACAAATATTTTGTTGTCAAGGTTAAACAAGTTTCAACCAAACATATACAAACTAGAGTTTGTCAGGGTCTTGAAATTTGGCAACATTCGCAATATTTTTCACACAATGCAATAGGGAAATGGAAGCTATTTCACATTACCAGATTAACAGAAACTCGGCATGATCAAACAACTCATTTAACCTCAAGTGTCTTCCCAAAAATGTCTGAGCAGTAATTTCCATGATACTTTAAAACACACATGTTAAGGATTTTGAAAAACTACTATTATAATTAGTCTTACTTAAAGGAGCTAAGTAAAGATATCAACACTTAGATTATAAAATTTTCTTGCATGGAAGATTTCCTCTGAAACATTTAAAGCACAGTAAACCTAAATGTAACTGAACTCAATGTCCTGTGGCTGGGAAGTGTCAGGCAGACTTGCAGTGCTACTAATTCTGCCTCTGGTATCCTACTGAGTACTTGGCACTGCTGAATAAGCTTTTAAATAAACAGGAATGTCTTAAGTTAATGCAATCACACTCACTAGTAAGATAACTATCATTTTGCTGGATGTATTTCTAATAAATACGTAGTATTCATTGAAGTAAGAGATTCAAAAGAAAAAACAAACAAAAGACAAAACCAACCAATCAATCCAAACAAAAAATGGGTGAAGCATAAACTCAAGAATGGATTTTTCTAAGCAAAACGAGGTAAGTGAAAAAAAAAAAAAAAACAAGTTAGACAAATAACAGGAAAACAGGGTTTATAAATCCTACTATCATTTAATAGAGGATAAAGAACACCACTTGTTATAGGGATATTGATTTGGCACATTCAGCTCCCAACATAGAAGTGAATGTGCTCATTGCTCCTCTTCACTCCAGGCACAAGGCAGCATGGGCAGGCTGGAACTGATCTGGACCTGCCAAGAACTTTAGTAGTAGATGAGATCAAGTCATATGATTACTGTCATGTCATGAGGACCGATTTTGACTCTTGGTATATCTCAAGAACAGACAGGAAGAAAAGGTCTTCCTCCCACATCCCCATCAACCACTGGAAAACACACTATTAGTTGCCATATATAGATCTCCAGTTCATTTTTCCCTTCACATTCCTTTCATATGCAACACATCTATCATGAGAAAACTATAAAAAATTTAACAGCAATGTAAAAAATATATTGTTTCACAGAATGAATCAGAGATTTCATTTTACTTCTAAATGTACTGCAGAATACACACTCTGCCTTCAGTGACTCTTGGACACCATTAATTGAACCTTATTTTTTTTAAATCAGCTATCTACACAAATTTATTTTAATTTAACGTTTCATAGTTTTAATACTGATTAAATACTTACGAGTCTTCCGAGCAGAATCTTCCACAAAGAGAGAAGAAATATCTTCATCCACCCCTGCTTCATTCTTTGCAATGCAAGTGTATGCTCCTGTATCTTCATAACGCACATTGCTGATGTGAACCTCACTACCATTTGCTAAAAGGAGAGGAAAAAATCAACATGCAGACATGCTAGTGCTTTCAGATTATAAATTCAGAAGGGTTTCTCTGCTTACACTAATTAAACCATTTTCATTCCTGAGTTCATAACTTGGAGGCATTCCAAATTAGTCCAAAGGTATTCAATTGGCTAGTGAATTACATGCACTATTTCATCTCACAGATATCCGGAGTGCCTCAGTTGATTTTGCGCATCAGAGCCAAATATAAATCTGAGGTTTTATATATATTTAAATGACTATGATTTTTTTTTTAACGCAGGTAAATATTAGGTTTTTATTACGTTGCATTTGGTCACTTGACACCGTAATTTCCTTTACACAAAACAACCCATGGAATGGAACAGGCCAAACTTTCAACATAAATAAAAATTTTAAGAAAATTATTTATTGCGCCTAACCAGAGGCACCTAGTTAGTTTTGGTTTCATGTGACTGCAGTGTAACAACATCGAAAACAGTGCACTGAAATTTTTCACCTACATCCATGTAGAAGCTTATGGAAACCTCAGGAATTGTATATCAGACTGCGTAGGAATGTCAACAAACACTCATGGGCAAATGTCTTTTAAATAATATGATGTGACTAATGATGTGAACAACAATTCACTGAATTTTAAGTATAATATACTTGTTCAGCTGTAGGAACTATACAAAAACCAGCTTTGTAGGTATTCTAAAGTACGGACTAAAAGGGGAATTGTCTTAGGGTGTAGCATCATTCTAGCTTGAAGCAAGTGCACACGTAATTTAACTCAGAAAAATCTTGGGGAAAATGTAATGACATTTTCAAAATTTTATTTCAAATAATTCCATGCTAGAAAATTGAATTAAAGGTATTGAATTCAATTTATCCTTAGAGAAGAAATTAAGAGAATGTTACTATGGAAGAGAAGTTCATCGCTTTCTACTCATAGTGGAAAGTATTTCTGCAAGGCAAGTGTTCATAAATATCTAGGAGAGTTGTACACGAAAGAACAGAGGACTATGACACCTGCAGGGAAAGTAACACTTGCCTTGTCTGTCCCACTGCTTTTTACAGTGCAGGCTGAGTGCTGTCCTATCTGAACTACACATTCTAATTTTGCTGATGAGTGAGAGAAAGTTTTGAAGAGAACATTTTTTTTGAAGAGGAGATTTTTTTCCCTATGGCTGATCAAAAATTACCATAAAGACTGAAGAAGCATGGAGATTTAAAGCTGGACAGCTCCACTGATTTTGCTAAGTCCTGAAGATTCATAGAAATTAACTGGTGCTAAAGGTAAGACTTTCCTTTAATTTTGTCTGAATTTTTTTTGTTTGGGGTTGTTTTGCAGGTTTTTGGGGTTTGAGGGGCTTGGGGTGTTTTGAGAGGGGAGTTAGGGCTTCTGTGTGTGTATGCAATGTCTTTGCACTCCCACTGAGGTCTGCTGACACCCTTCAGAAAACAGCACATCCATTTCAGTTCTTTCTCCTCCAGTCCTTTCTACTATCAGGTCCCCAAATCTCATTAAGATTCTTATCAGTTCTGACTGGGACCAGGTCTTGGACTGCCTGCTCCACTCAGATACTGCACATTTTCAAACACAGAAGAGCATATTGGAATTTACTAGTAATCCTGCCAGTAAGCATAATCATAATTCTAACAAAGAGAAAGCAGAAAGATACGTGTCTTGAGGAATAACTGGAAAATATCTCTTTTGAAATGTTTTTGCTTAGACTTCAAGCCTTTGTTAAAACTATGGAAGAAGGGCAGCTAGCATGGAAATGATGCACAGATAAAACATTAGCAATCTGTAGAAAACAATAAATACACCCCTTTACCTTGAAGAGTTAACTGTTTGGACAACTTTGGAGTGATATCAATTCCATTCTTCAGCCAACCAAGTTGTGGGTTGGGAATACCTTCAGCATGGCACCGAAGGCTAGCTGTCACACCTGGCTCCCTCGCCTGGCTCTCTGGGTAGACTCGGATAACTGGTGGAACTGAATACAGAAAACAATTATAATTTAGTCGAGAACATTATCTTCATTTTAAAAAAAATAACTATTAGCATTCAGAAGACCCCTGCAGCTACATATAACAACACACAGATGTGGTATTCATCAGATATTCAGTAAGATTCAATGCAGAATTCTGTCTCAGAAAATTTATGAAGCAGATAAAATATTCTGTGAGAGAAATCTCTTTTTACTGCCTGTGATATTAAAGAAAAAAACCTCAACTCTTATTCAATAGTTTGTGGTTGAATAATAAGATTTTTATTTTTCCTTAGATTTTTAAATAAAATATGACTAACATACAATTAGTGAGTCACGATAGGTTGTACAGAGATTGTGATTGTCCTGTTTCACAAATCTTAACATTTCATCTCCATCTTTTCCTTCTTTCCAAAACACCTATCAACAATCCATTCTAACTCCATAAAACTTGTTCAGGTTTATACTTCTTTATACCTGTTCAGACAGGACCTTCTGTACCCATGATATCACTTCCCTTCTTTACCATACAGACACATCACTAACTTATGTTTAACTTGATTTCCTTCTGAAGTCCTTTCCTGCCAAGATGCTTTCCACTAGGTGGTCTTCAGGATATATTGGTGCACCAGGGTTGTTCCTTCCTGTGTGCAGGACTCTTGCACTTCTTGTTGAACTTCCTAAATTCCTACTGGTTCATTTCTCCATCCTATCAAACTCCCTACAAATAGCAGCATGATCTTGTAGTCTATCAACCACTTCTCCCAGTTTGGTGCCATCTACAAAACTGTTGAAGGTAGAACACTGCCCCATTATTCAGATCCTTAATTAAGATGTTAAACAAGACATGTATCCTTCTGGACAAAATGTCCACACAGCTGGATAACTGTGTTATGTGATGGGTGAGCAACCAGCTCATGGGTCAGGAACAAAGAGATACAGTGAAAGGGGTAACATCTGGCTGGGATCCAGTCAGTAGTGCAATTCCGAGGGCTCAATCCTCAGCCAAGTTCTCTTCAACATCTTCATTAAAGACTTGGACACAGGACTAGAAGGAATAATAAGTAACTTTGCTGACAACATCAAACTGGGAGAAGCTGTTTACTCCCTCTAGGACAGAAAGGTACAGCAGAGAGACCTCAACAAATTAAAGAGATGGGCAATCACCAACTATATGAAGTTTAACAAAGGAAAATGCCAAATTCTGCACCTGGGACAGGACAACCCTTGTTGTGTGTACAAAATGGGGAATGAGGTGCTGGAGAGCAGTGCTGCAGAAAGGGACCTGGGGGTCCTGCTTGATGGCAAGTTTAATATGAGTCATTGTGCCCTGGCAGCCAGGAGGGCCAACTCTGTCCTGGGAGGCATCAGGTACAGCATGGCCAGCTGGACAAGGAGGGATTGTCCTGCTCTGCTCTGAGCTGGGGCAGCCTCACCTCGAGTCCTGTATGCAGTTCTGGGTGCCACAATATACAAATGACATTGAGCTTTTGAGGAATGTCCAAAGCAGGATTGTGAAGAGTTTTGAGGTGAAGCCACATCAGGAGTGGCTGAGGGCACTTGACTTGTTAAGCCTGGAGGAGACTGAGGGGAAACCTCATTGCAGCCTGCAACTTCCTTGTGAAGGGGAGGGACAGGCACTGATCTCTTTGTGGTGACTGGTGACAGGACCTGAGCAAGTGACACAAAACTGTATCAGGGAAGGTTTAAGCTGGATATTAGGAAAAAGTTCTTCACCCAGAGGGTGGCTGGGCACTGGAACAGGCTCCCAGGGATGTGGGCACAGTACCAGCCTGGCAGAATTCATTAAGTGTTTGGACAGTGCTCTCAGGCACATGGTGTGACTCTTGGGCTGTCCTGTGTAAGGCCCACAGCTGGACTCAATGATTCTGTTGAGTCCCTTGCAACTCAGCAGATTCTGTGATCCTATGCATAAGACTTATGAGTTTCTTTATTATCAAAATATAAGAAATGTTGATATTAATTTTCAAAGGTTTGAAAACTTGCTGCAGTATATACTTACCAATTAAAAATCTATATACACCAGTAGTGTCAGAGAGAGAACATATGACACCTCAGTGGACATATTGCTATTAGTAATCAATAGTTTAACAAGATTTTAAAATCCTGCTATGCAGATTTTTTCTGATTAATAACTATTTAACTTATCTTTAATTTTTTTTTAGAGACAGCTTGCTTGAGGTTGTTTCTAACATAAAAAAAATAAACTGTAATAAGATTAAGGAAGTGTATTTCCTATTCAACAAAGTTTTGTTTAATGCAGCTCTAAAAATGTAGAATACTTAGGTTGTGTCACAAAACACAGCTGGGTAGAGGATGAAGTACCAGTCGATAATGAAAGAAGATCAAAAATTAACTGTGTCTTATTTGGCATGAGATTAAATATTTTCAAATCCTGTTCAACTATTTACAAGAGATGTCTCAGCATGCTGTCCCATTAGATCATAGAAATGCTTTACATTTTGACATTGCAAGAAATACGTAAATCTACTTTATCTCAGATAGGATGCAAAAATCAGTATGTTCCAGGGATATTTTAAACCCAGTTAGAGAGGACAGTCTTTTCAACATAACCCCAATATGCAAATTGCAAAAATTTAATATAATAATATGGGAGAAGGTTAAAAATTAGATAGCATGGCTTTTAGTTTCTTAGACTGCCAACTGAGAGGAAGAGCACATAAAAATCAGAGATTTAAGGTTTCTATTGATTTTCTGGAAAGGGCTTTGCTTTCATGGAAGTGGATCTTTATTTTTCATCTCAAGCCTGACATTCCCACTCCTATTTTCCCTCCACTTCTTCCCTCTTCTATCTCGTTTTGCATAGCATCTGTCTGCTCCATACTGAGACCTTGCCTTCCCCACTGTGTTCTTCAGACTGGGCCCTGCTTGACTTCACATTCAGTTGTTTGAACATTTCTTGGTGCCTCAGCTCCAAGTCTCACTCTTCCTCACTTCCTAAAGTCCAATTTTCATGCCTGCCTGGTCAATGTTTCTTGACACAAGGTCCTTTAGGTAGGTTACCTCATGTAGATTTCCCACTGCAGCAAAGCCAAACGGCTTATTCTTCCACCTTGTGTCTGGAAAACAAGGATGTTCACTTCCGTAGAGACAGGACTGCCATCACTGAACACTCTCAAGCATCTCAGTGACAGAACAACTTTTAGGACCAATAGCAGGGCATTGCAATTAGTTATGTTCTGACTACATATGCCAGGATATTTCTAATCTCTTTTTGTGTCAGTGAAATACTCTCATTGTGTATAAAACCGTATGGGTATTTAACTATCTCACCTTGACAGACTTCTACTGAGCACATTTCAAAGAATTTTCATTGAAGAGAATGTATTAATTTTATTTGGGCAAAAGGCACACAATATTTTTGATGCAATATTATTGTTTAAAAAGTTCTCATTTCTATAGTAGATCCTGTTCCCTTTAGCACTGTTTTCCCAGGGACAAAGGTTCTTACATGACAGTAGGGTTTATTTCTTGTTGAATCTTTCCTCTCCTTGCTGCCATTTTCCTCTTTCCTCAGCAACTCTGTGTCTAATAGATTATCTGTACAACTAGAAATGTTTTTCAAGCCTTGTTTTGCATCATGTTTTTTATTTCATATTACCCTGAAGCCTATTGGTAATATTCCACTAAGAAAGAGCTGTGCCACTGAGGCATCTTGCAGTCAACCGAAATATAAATGCAGTTGCGGGCTCAGTCTTAAAAGTAAATTTGATGTGACAAGTTCCATGTAAAGGCTTTGGAGTTCGTTTGAATCAGGTTTTTTGTTTGGGTTCTTTTGGTGCAACTGACAAAAAAAAAGAAAAAAATCACCAGAAATTAAAATTTAAGCACATAATTAATGTGACTGTTCACACTGACTTTCAAAGAGATATGTTCTAGCACCTTAACCTAAAGAAGTTTATTTTACAAGGGAGAGATCATGACATAGGTTAAAAAGGGAGGGGAGACACTGCATGTTTGTATTTAGCAGAGTTACTTTTAATACATAATTGAGTGAATTCTATATTCCTTATCTTTCAATTCAAAAAGCGATGTGAGACTGTTGGCTCCAAATATGGTAGAAATGTAACTATTCAATAGCTATAACATTTGCTATAAAACCTCTTGAGTATTATTTCAATTGGGTCTCATGGGGCAGGAGAAGGGAGAAAATAGTCTGTTCAAGCTGTCTTGAATCCAGGGAGAATGCATCTGTTTAAAAGAGAAACAGGTGATATCTCTAGTGAACTAAGTTCTTCTATTGACGTATATAATAGCTCTTTTTTAAACTTAGATACTTTGAAAAAACAAAGCTGGCAAACAATTCTTCAGACACCATACATTCTCAATTTACATCTGGCCAAGTGACTGGGTTCTCCTTTCTTTACTTCAAGGTATCAAAACTGCTGATCTTATTCAAGTATCACTGATATATTAGAAGAAAAATAAAGATCAAACTGACAGACTCAAATTCATTTAGTCATATAGTCTATGAGATATAATCTTGAAATTGTATACATTGGAAGTTTTAACTATTATGTAAATACTAATAATTAAGACTATATCATGAAAGAATTACTTTTTCCTGATCCCAACTTTTTATTTTGGGTAGGGTTTTTTTTGTAGTTTATATGAAAAAGTTTAAAATATCAACTTATAGAGTTGCTTACATTATTTACCTTACATATTATTTGTGTAAGAGTAGACTAATTTTTGTACTACAGAACAAGTCTTTTACAGTGCTCATTAATTTATATTTAGGGCTCCAAAAGAAGCTTATTTTTTTACTACTATGCCAGATAACTCAAAACTAAAAAAAATCTTAGATTTTAATCTTAAAAGTAAATCAGATTTATATATATAATAATTGCATACTAGCCTAAAAGCTATGATTTTTTTTCTAAAAATATATAGCTGTATATAAATGGAAAGCAAGAAAGAACTTAAAATCTAATTACATTGTTTTCATTGAACCTTCACATTAAATCTTTGTGATCAATGTAGTCTCATTATCCCATTAACTTTTTAACTGACTCTCCAGTTAATACAAGTATCATTATAATAATTAGTCATTATCACAGCTACAAGTACTGACCATCATGCCTGTGCTTAAGAAGATTATTCCTTAGAAGTACAGATCTAAACTGTGGAAGAGCTGTTCATTTGACCTTTAATCTCAGTAGACTTAACTCCATTTATCCACAACATGCACAGCAAATAACCCTATTGCTGGAAAGGCCTCCTTTTCCTGTTTCTTGCTCCCCAAAACATCAACATCCAAAATCATTTAGGAAGGTACCATTCCAGTGCCAGCTTTTGGAATAGCAGCTATCTGAGTTTTACAGTGGTTTCCAGTTGAAAAACCAATTTCCTGACATGCACTTTATCACCAGAAAAACCTACACTTGTTCTCCTTCACCTCTTTCAAATTATATTTCTTGATTTTCTAGTCTTGCAAGAAAACCTTCTTCAACTTCAGTGGAGTTTTGCCTCATTTGCTGAACTGAGCCAAACATGAAGAATTCTAGTATTTTAACTCTTGCTATGCACCTCTGGGGGATTATTTACACATTGGGATTGGTAAGGAATGTGTTGATAAGAATATAAATTTATTAATAATTTAGGGTAAACTAAGCCCCATAAAACAGAGGAGAATGTTGGTCAAGAATCAACTAATGTGTTCAGCTTGCTAGTAATTCTGTTTTGTCTGCAGTAATTAATATATTAATTATTTATATAAAAAACTGCACTTCAGTCTTCTCACTAGTTTTGCCAGTAGTTGCTACCTGGCTTTTAAAACGACAGAAAATAGCCCAGAAGAAAAAACTGGAGGAAAAGATGTTGATGCCAAGTCCCCATTAGCTCGGGGACAACACTCTATGTACAATGTATTGAGGTTCAGGAGGGGAAGAGTTAGGAAAAAGAAGAAATATATGGATTGAGAAATATTACAAGCCAGCTTCCTGGAGAAACATAGCTGAGAAAAAATGTTTATAAAACTGCAAACAGGCACAAAGTGTCAAAGTAATTTAAAATGTGAAGATATTAACAACAGAAAAGTGGGAAAAGGTGATTAAAACAAGAACTAATCATATTAAAAGTCAAAACAAGTTTGGAAGCTGTATTTCATATATATATACATGAAAGATAAGAATAAAAGAAAATATTTCAGCATTCTTGGATGAGATGTTAAAAAAGTCAGCCTAAAAGTCAGCCTAACAGTTTGTGCAACTGTTTAATAGCTAACAAAACAAAGAATGATGGTAACAGCAATGCTCAGGAAACGACAGCTAGAGTATGCCTCAGGAGAGAAACAGAGCCTCTTAATACAAAGTAAATTTAGAAAATATTGAGGTCAAACATGATTATGAACAGGATTAAACAACAACATGGAATGACAAACACTGGTAGTTTACAGCAGAAAGGGAGTCTTAAGAGTCAAAGATAAATATGAATTGAAATAACAAAAGCACTCTAAGAAGAAAAAAGACATTTAACCTCAATGATGATAAAGCAGACCACCCTTCATCAGTAGAAAACAACTCATTAAACTAACTTAGGAAATAAATTGTATGTAAGAAAAAGGAGATGGTACACCAGCTCTAGAGAAGGTAAAGGCATGTCTTCAGGGCACAAGAAACAAAGTAGTTAAGTTTTGTCCAAGTACAGAATTCAATGAAGTGTTATCTGGAACTTGAACAGATGTAGGAAAATGCAAAGATTAAGTTTTCAAATCCAGGTGCCTCAAGTTAATCTACTAAAATCATGGTTAGATTTCAATATCATAAATGTGAACTTAGAAGCCTACATAACTTACAAAATCTCCAGGGAAATGCATTCTATTAATCTTTTATTCAACAAAACATTCTTAACACAAGCAACTTACACATTTATTTTTCCCAGCTTACTTGCAAGTTACTAAATTAGTACTAAAACCTACTTTATGTGTGTGTATGCATATGTATATGTATATATAAACCACTTACTGTTATACACAACATCACAGGTGCAAAGCAAATCCTCTGGACTATCCTTACACCTTTTAATAGTTATAATTCTATGGAAGCAATAAATTAAAATTATTGTGTTTCATTATTTTTAAGGTTATTTGAAGGAGAGCAATTTCTATTAAGATGTAACACAATAGAAAAAAAAAGTAGAACAGAAACAACAGATCTGCTTAGCAAAATTCAAGTTTCTTATGACTTGATAATTAGAACATTTTTCCTTACCAGTCACTTGGAGAATATGAGTTTGATAGACCTTATCATACCCATCAGCATAGCAGGTGTAATTTCCTATATGAGTTGTGGTAACCTTAGTGATGTACAAGGACCCATCATCTCCAAAATCCTACCAGGAAAGATTAAAAACGAGGTTATTACAATTAAGCCCACATCTCTATAGTAATTATGCTCATCATCTTGGCAACAAAGTTGTGATGCAAATATCAGACATCACACATCACAAATATTTAACCAGAATATGAGACAGTAATCTGAAATTCAAATATTATACTTGTGAATGGGAGAGTTGTTTTATCTGGCTACATATATTGTGACTGTAAAAGAAAAAACTTTTATTTTAACAACTAGTTAAACTCGGCAGAAGCAATATGTTTATTTAGCTATGACAGTTATTTGCAGAAGAAAAGCTGTTGAGGATTGCATCCGACTAGAAAGAAAAATGAAATCTATGCAAAAAATTAACAAGTTAAATGACATCTCGTGGAAGTGTTGCCATCCTTTGCAATGAGCAGACATGAAAAAAAAAATCCTAGTTTTTCTTCTAATTCTCATTAGATTGAATGATACATTACAGAAGTACTAGTGCTGTAAACTGATTTCAGGGATCTGGGATACCTGAAAGTGAGTGTTTGTGACGAAGACCAAGGCAAAGGAGGCTTTTAGTACCTCATTATCTTCTACTTATTTGGCACTGGGTGCATGCCAGCTCAGCAAAAAGTCCATATTTTCCTCTTTCTTTGCTGCTGATATAGTGCTGAAACTCTGTAGACCTTCATATCTCTGACCAGATCCAGTTCCAGATGGCTTCATCTTTCCTTATCTGCACATTCAAATAGAGTCTTCAGGTTCTTCCTGGGTCACCTGTCATTCCTCACATTTTTTCTTTTTTATTTGAATTCTGTCAAGAGCTCCTTGTTCATTAATACAGACTTCTGTCTGCTTTTTATTTACAGTGCATCATAAAAGTCTGTTCTTGAGCACAGAGTAGGTCATCCTTGAAAATCAACCATCTTAGACCCCTTTTGTTTCCAGCATGATCTCCTATGGAATTCTTCCAAGCACATCCTTGAACAGGCAGAAGCCTCTTCTCCTGAAGTCCATGGATGTATTGCTTTTTGCCCTGCTGTCTCTTCTTAGGCTCCTCGACTCTGCCATCTCATGGTCACTGTAGCCAACGTTGTCCCCACCTTTATATCCCAAAACAGTTCTTCCTTATTTGTTTCTTCACAAACTTTGTAGCCTTCTCTATAAAGTCCTCAAATCCATGAAGACTTTATCAAAAGCTTGCAAAACCAAAAACTTTTGCTACAATACCTCAGTCACAAAGTCTGTAAATTGCACAGTAAAGAATTTTGATAGAAAAAATATTACTATGTGCCGCCGTATCATGACATTCTGTCTTTTGGATCTTAAAAATGACAAAATAATGGGCTACATTAACCTCTGGTTCATTATTTTTTTCAGTTCTCATTTTCCAGTTTTTGTTCTTACTCAGAAAACAATGATCTCAATGCTTTTATGCACATATTTAATTCATGAGGACTTTCACTATAACGTTCTGAGTCTCTTTGTAGACTGAAACATAAACATGAAAACTGAAACTTCTATGAAATTCCTTTTAATTTCTCAGTTTTCTTTCTTTAAATAAACTCAAAATATTATTCAAAAATACATATTTCTCACTGTATTTTTTCATCCAAAGATGTGTGGGAAACTAAATTTCACATTGCACAACTCTGCACTTCCGAAGATTCTTCTAGTTGTTCCTTGGGAGAAGGAAAACAACTCACCTAAAAATTAACCTACCTGGTAATACTATCAATAACTTGACTTTCTCAGGATAATGATAGGTTTCTTTATTAGTACTTTGGTTACACAGAAAATATTTCTACCAAATCTTCAATATACCATTATATGTTACCACTGCAAAGATAAAAAAAGGGACCCTCTGTCAGACTCCATTTTTAACTTTGATGATGTAAATCAATACCACTGGATCTCCCTTCAGAATAACCCACCTGACTAACTTCAAAAAACTTCCTTATTGGATGTTTTGATCTTTATCTCTTTCTAAAATGTATGAAGCAGAAAATCAATTTACATTTTCCCCCTTACTAGCTGAACACACGTTTCCAAAACGTTCCAGTTCAACAGCATTATTAGTGAAAGATGAAAGAACAGCTATTCAAAAGAGCCACACTACAGGTACTTACATTTTATCTGAAAAATGCATATTGTTATTGCCAATTAGAATTTTTTGCCTAGTCTCTGCCAAAGGTACTTGTGAACAGAATAGGGCACAGGATGGAGTGGATAAAAATTCAGCTGCTACAATGCAGTCTGGAGACTAGTTTACTTTAACATTCCTTATGCTAAATTATTAAGCACTGCTTTGAAGCATGCTTACCTGTTTCAGCTCTTTAACTGATTCATTGTGACATATGATATCTTTAGATACCATAACTATTTTCTAAGTAAATGGGTGACTGTGTTATGGTTTCTCCCTTCTTTTTCACAAAAATCCTGGAAGAAACACTCCTGTGGTTATTTTACATTAGTATTTCAATAGAATCCACACATGATGACACTCAGAGAGTTAGAATTGTATGGATAGAATGTTTTGTTGGTAGTGGCGAATTTTTTCTGATTGTTTGCTTTGGGTTTTTTTACAACTACAGAATAAATGTCCCCAGCTTATTGTTATACCGAGTTCAATGTTTGTTTTGTTAATTAAAGCAAACTACTCAATACAAATTGAACTTAATGTTGTAAGCTGCATTTGAAAAGGGATGAAGTACAAACAGCTACCTGAAACTGCACGTTGACTAGTGTTTTCTTGACTAACTCACAAGTGAAGTAATTAAAAAAACCCTGTATCTATGCTGACACACAAACATCTTTGAAACAGAGCCTTCAAACATCAACAGCAGAAAATACCGAAAAGTGTTTTTTTACATTTTGGAAAATATATTTCATGATAGTAAAAAAAAATTTGCTACAAACTCAACTTTTGTTCCCCTGCCAGTCAAATAGAAGTGGCAAGGTACTTCTAAAATTACATTAAGAAACTCTATTTTTGTCATATATGAAAAGATGGATTTTAACAATTATCTTAACAAGGATTCCACTGCAATTCTGTTCTCCTGAAGAACTTGACATTTTATAAATCATGATATATGTTATGAATAATGAGCATAATAATATGGAAAAATACTTCAATTTGATAGTGAATCTTTGCTATTCTCTCTTACTGCTTATAAAATGGAAACTAAAGGTGATTTTTAGTTTTGAATCAGCAATTATTTCCTTGTGTTTATAACCTGCTTTCATATGCTAATGCTTTGCATATGAGAGAATTTATGACCATTTTCCAGCACTTCTTCATTAACAGCTCTAAGAAGACTGTTCTTAGCTTTCTCCCCATGGGAGAACATGTAATGAAACAGACTGCTTGAATTTGTTCATCATCATAGAAGCTAGGAGTGGTTTTGGTTTGGTTTGTGGTATTTTGGTTGGCATTTTTCCATCATTTTTTCCCATATATTTCCTAGATAACTTTTTTGGCTTTGTATAAATAATTTTTAAAAAAGAAAAAAGAAAAAAGAAAAGTACATGGGCTATGTGAACTGAAGATGTGAATTCTTACTTACATTATCCTCAAACAGAGAAAACCGAATTTATTGTGTCCTTAATAAATGGAATTAGTGAACATCAAATTTAATGAATTCATAGGTTTTTCATATTACCTTTATTTCTATTTGCAGTCTTTACCAAATCCACAAAAAAGTTAAAAATTATATTGTTTGGACTCTTTTTTATTTACAGTTAACAGAGTTAAAATAGTTCAATTATAATGATAACACCCTCTGGGTGGGGGCATTTCCCTTCTTTTTAAAGAAAAATATTTATTTTTTGATGGGGAAAGGCAAAAAACCCCATATCATCTGTTGCTGAGCTGATCAGGTAGAAAATCTGGAGCTAAGAATTAAAATTTTGTCTTGGTTTGCTAGGCTGTGCTGGGGTGACTTTATGATGCTGTATTGTATCCCCATTTATCTGTTTAGCCCAAAAATAAGTTTTGCACCTTTAAAACTAGATCTAAGAGTGAAGGGGGGGAGAAGGAGAAGTGGTGGAATGTCTGAGACAGTTACTTTCAAAACATAGAGACCTTCAGCATTCCTTCTCTCAGGCTGTGCTGTCTGCAGCACGGACAGACAGCAGGAGAGAGCTCTCCTTTGCTTTTTATTAGTTTTTTGGCTAACTGAGACAGAGAAGTTCCTCGGACTGTGGGTTTTCTTTTTCTTGGAACTGTTCAAACCCGCTCTGGACTGAAAACCCAGAAGAACACCAGGAGCTCACACCTGTGGACCACCAGGGCCAGGACGTGGCATTTTCCATCAAAGGAGGGACTGATAAGAGGCTGAGTGAGCCGACCTACACCTCACGACAAGGACCCTCTGAATCTGCCATCTCTTCAGAACAGTGAGAGGTTTTATTGTTTATTCATTTTTTTGTGCTTGTGAGTGCTTTACTTGCTGAAAAACAGGTTTTTTGCACTTTTCGCCAAGGAAATCTTTTCCCGAACCAGTTCAGAGACGGGCCACTTGAATCTGCTTTTCTAAAGGGACCCCTTTGGAGGTTTCCTCCCTAATTTTGCCCTAAACCAGGACATAGGGGAAAGTTGTATCAATAATTGCAAACAAACAGATATTTTCAAAACAACAGTCGTTTGCTTATAAAACACAACCAGTATACACATCCCCCTTTATTTTCTGTACATTAGCTCAAGATTTCTGCATTTTATTTCAGCCAACTCATGGAAGTACCAGTAATACTAAATGTCACATTCTTGCTCATATTTTACATAATTTTCAGTGTCTCTAACTTCCTTTATTACAAGGACACAGAGAGTAGATAACTTACTAGGTTAGATAAGGGTTAACTAACCTAGTAGATAACCTACTAGGTAGATAAGGGTTAACTGGAAACATTTTAAAAAATAATTATGGCTCGTTTGTCAGATAAACTCATCTCAGGCTTTTCGTGCTAATGTCAATGTTAAAACTCATATTTTCCAAGTAATTGTTTTCCCTATTCACATTGGCA